TAGGTAGCTCATGCATTAATTTTCCATAGCCTTCTTGACCCATCCCCAATATATTAATCTTTTAATCCTTTTTGCTTTTTCTCCTCTCTTACAGTTACAGCATCTTTCACATATTTATGTACTCTTCTCCCTTCAGTTAGGGAATCTGGGATAAAAAACAGCATTTCTAATTCTAACAGTTCTCACAGTACCCTGTAGCTGCCAAACCCATTTGTAAAAAAGTTACCTCTCAGTGTAATGACTGTCTAAAATGAGTAGCTCATGTGCTAGGGATTTTTATTGGTTTACTTTAAATCGTGGATATGGAGGATCCAATTACATTTCTAAAACAAAGGAAAGCCACTAGGTTCACAGGTTATTATACTGGTATTTCCCTCTCCACTATCATTAAGTTTTTTTAAAAAACCCTAAGAAATCATATTTATTTATTAAAATAGATGTGCATAATTAAGCTTACAAAATGTTACCATTACAAAATCAGCTTTAATGTTTTATCATGCTTTGGCCACATCCAGGCTACCATTTGTATAGAAGACAAACTATTTTTAATGTCAAAGGTGGCAAATGACAAAAAAACAGAAAAACCATGTCTTTTTTCAAGAGATCAATTAGGAGATCTGCCAAATACGTATCTCATTTATTAGCAACATGAGTTACACAGGAATTGTCTTAATACATTTCTAGCATCCAATTTCACTGAGTACGTTAGAAATGTGTAGTATGGGAGAATACTATGCCTCCAGCATAGTAAGTATCTGATCTTTGCTGAAAGTTAGGTAAAGTTACACATAACTAGTTAGCTTACCACTTGGCAATAATCTTCCTGTAACATCAGTAGTAATAGTACAAAAACCCCTAAGTGATATATCTATAATTGGTGGGAGGATCATTATAATTGAGACAGGAAGTGAATAGAATAAGTTTTCCCACTGCAATTATGCAGTGTTTCTAAATCAGTATTTTTAATGTGTGTGCATGGGGAGGAATGGAGAGAGAGTTGCAAAGTTTTGTCTTTATATTAAGACAAAATGGCCTAGAAAATAGAAATACTGATTAATATCTAAAATTGTATTTGTTCTAATGCTACTGAAACCAGAATTATTCTAGTCAGCACTACCATTCAGAAAGAAAAGATACAAGGCTTTATTATTGATGCAACATCAAAAATTAGAAATCAAAGTAGTAAATAGTAATATAAACAGGAAAGTAAATTTTCTTGGGTTTTGACTTGAGATAAAGGAAGGTGTTTTTTTCCTTTTTAAATTCAACTTGTATAGCAGTGCCCTGGTAAAATATCTTTAACATAATATAGAGCAGCATTCAAATGAAGTCTATTTATCGTTTAGAGAATATATTTCTCAAACTGCATATCTGGCAAGGATTTAAGTTTCTCTGATTTCTTCAGAACAGAAAAGCATTCTAAGCCCACTTATTTTACTTTTTAGGGAAGTTAGTTGCCTTGAAAGAGCAAAAATTTAAAAAGATTGCAGAATCAACATGCATGCAAATAGAAAATATTCCAACAGGCTTTATGTAAAAGGGCACTAACTATTAGTTGACTTGTCTGCCAAAAATAAGAGTCGAGAATCTGTCTCCAATTGTTGAAATATGCTGTATTCACATTTGTGATAGATCTTCCATAGAGTTTCTTAAAAATAAAAGCTCATTTCAAAATGGTGACTGAATTGTGGTCACTTGCAAGTTTAGCCATTTATGAGGAAAAAAACCCTGAATTTATCAGAAGTCAGCACTTAAAAAAATAATATAGTGAACAACCAGGGAGTTAATTTTCACTGACATGGAAAGCCAGCTATTATGTTACACCTTTTCACATGACTTAGCTCTTCAGCTGGTGTACCAATAAACTATATTTGAAGTTCTACCTCCTTATGCTTTTTTGTTGTTGTTGAGGACACATTCACATACATGAAAAAAGTTTCAGATCTGTCAAATCACACACCATCACACTTAGAAGTAGCTAGAATGCCTTCTTCAAAGAAAAAAAAAAACCCAAACAACACAAAATACAAAACCAAAAACCAAACCCAAATACAGGAGCTTTACCATCAAAGTGAATCTTTCAATTTTTGACAGAGTCCCGTCACATTGATTCAAGGCCCCTTTCAATCAAAACAGTAAAAACTTCCAAACATGATTGTATCAGCATCTTTCTGAAACACACACACAGAAAGCTTACTTTAATAACCTATGAAATGTAAAATTATTTCACTTTTCTTCAATGCCATATTTCATCACTTATTCAAGATAGCTAATAATAACGGACACAAAGTGCATTTCTTCAGTTGCCCAGTTTCAACAGCCAAGATTCACCAGAAATACTGGGCTCAGTGACAAGAGATGGTCACAATGCTTATGACTTCTTCTGGTAGCATTATCTCATGTGATTGGTACTTCAATAAAGAAAAAAGTCAAGAGTATTTTTAAAATATCAAGACAAATGTAATACATAAAAGCATAAAATACATTTTAAAGGTTTTGACTGCTTAATCTGGCTGCACTTCTACTTGTCTGCTAAACTCAGTATTCCTTATTATTAGAACTCCACGTTGTGTGCTTGCTATTCAATACTATTTACAGTCACCACTAATAACTTTAGAATCAGATCTTGTCTTCTACAGAAATTTTATGGCTGATGATTCTATATGAAGATGCATGAAGTACAAACAAGAAAGCTTAGTGTTCAAAAACCAGGCAAACTAGATCCAGAACACAAAGAAGCTAGAGTAGAAGGCATGCATATGAATTAACAGGTCCAATCATGGAAATAGGCAATCTTAACAGAAGTTTAGTGTTTTCAGATTGAAGTTCAGTTCTAGCAACCTCAGTAAACTCTCACCCAAAGAGGATTTTCAGAAGGTGAACTGCTATAAGGTATTGCTGTAATATCCTATAAGGAACATAAAATTCTAATATAGGCCTTTTTGAGAAAGTATAAAATTATTCCTTTTCACCATGCTTTCTAGAACAATACTTGATCTTAGAAACAAATACAAACTAAATAAACTAAGGCCGGTTAACATTAAATGTTACATTACATACATGAAATACTGGACTTGATAAGCTACCTCATATCACCTTCCTGTTCAGTCATACAGGGAAAAAAGAGGTAAATTATTTAAAATGTTTCACGTTATTCCATGCAGCACAATTTTCTTTAAGAAAATAAAAAGTAATCAGCTCAGAACGGCTAGAGAAAGAAACTTAGAAACTTGTTTTGGTTTTATTTACAGGAGCCTTCAGACCACTTTCTCTGATTCCCCTCTGAAACTAGCCAGAAAATTATTAAGATTACTAGAATTTCAGGCCCAATTACTGCTTTCTCATTTTCTCCACGGATCACTGGCAAGCTGAGGAAGTTATATCCAGCAAGTCAACCAGAGAGTAAGAAATAATCACAAAACAGGCCAATACCATTTCAGTACTTTGTCACAGTCAAAACACCCATAATAATTTTCAGTTTAGAAAATAAAAAATGCTCTTTACTATATGCTCTTCTATAATTGTCTTTAAAAGATTCACAGATTATTTGAGAAAGAAAACAAAATGTTAGCATGTTTACTTAAATCCAAAAGAACTAGGAAAACCAAGCAATCCTGGAACATTCTCTCTAACCTAGCTACAAGGTTAAGCCACCCGGATTTACATCTCTATGTTTGCCCAGAGATGTACCAAGTCCAAGAGTCTCAACCTTATTCTTCAACTGTATTTCCATGAAAGAATGGACTAATATTTACTAGAATAAACTATATTTATTCCAACCGACAGCACAGATTTCTTGCTTGTCAGAGAGAAAAAGTAGATTTTTCAAGTATCATGACAGAGAATCTTTACACCTGCCTCCCAGAGGAAATGCACAAAAATCCTTCATCTCAACAGTTGTGCACTTAGTGTTAGGTTACACAAAGAGCAGTCCTGCTGTTTCTGATGAGTTATTTAGATAAGAATTTATAGTTCCCTTTGGGCATATCTGTATTAAGCATATGATGCATAACATTATATAGAAACTTCACCTGCAATTTTAAAGAGACCGTGATGCTGGCATGATGCTGTTCTGAAAGACATTTACTTCCACTTTTAAAAGCAAACATGTAAAACAATAAAACAAATTAAGCTTAAAATAACAGGAATATATTTTATTTGCCAGGTTTTGCATTAATCAGGCAAGCAATACTTGAATTTTGCTTCTTTCCTTGACATTAATGCATAAGAAGACTTCTAACCAAGATGATAAAAGTACATGAGACAAATGAGGAATAGGTAAAGGTGCAGCTATTTTTTAAAAAAAAATACCTGTGTTGATAACTCTGATTTAAAGTGTTTACACATAGGTAGATGTGCTGATTTTGGCTGGAATAGAGTTAATATTTTTCATTATGGCTAGTAGGGGGTGATGTTTTGGATTTGAGTTGAAAAGTGTTGACAATGCAGAGATGTTATCGTTATGGCTGAGCAGAGCTTATGCAGAGTCAAGGCTTTTCTGCTCCTCACACCACTCCACCAGCAAGTAGGCTGGGGGTACACAAGAAGTTGGAAGAGGACACAGCCAAGACAGCTGACCCCAACTGACCAAAGGAATACTCCAGACAATATGACATCATACTTGGCAATAAAAGCTGGAGGAAGATGGATGGAGGGGGACATTCAGAGCAATGCTGTTCATCTTCCCAAGTAACTCCACATGATGGAGCCCTGCTTTCTGAGAGACTGCCAAACACTTGCCTGCCAATGAGAAGTTGTTTTGCTTTGCTTGCATGTGCAGCTTTTGCTTTACCTAGCAAACTGTCTTTATCTCAAACCAAGAACTTTCTCACTTTTAATCTGATTGTCTCTCCCAGCTCATTGGAGGGGGAGTGAGCGAATGGCTGTGTGGTGCTTTGTTACCAGCTGGGGTTAAACCACAACACTAGATGTCCAATCTTTACACATTCAAAAATATTAGTAACACTTAAATAAGTTTAACATGGTTAGAAAAGACTTACTTTTATTGTAGCAGGTTGCTAGTACACCTTTATCTGCAGGACTGGTACTAATGTGCCAAATTTCACCCACTTGATGAAGGAGAACGTTTTTGTTTATAATGTTATTTTCATCATCAAAATCTATGATGTGAATCTGCAAATACAATAAAAGAGAACATTAGGGTTTCAAATGTTTTCCTGTGGGTCTTAATTATAAACAATGACTGCACAGAACAATTTAATGTGAATTTTATAACCAATATCTTCTTTAATTAATTGTTAGTATAACAATTTAGTGTATCATTGACTTCATGCAGGATGCACTTTTCTAGAAGAACACAAGCAATTTCCCTATTTTGAGAGAATACCATGTTTATTCTTCTCAATTTTGCACCTTAGAGCTTGAAGGTGATTTTTCATTTTATGGCTAATAGTAAATAACCCACTCGTATTGCAATTGAACGTTTCTTATAGCAATAAACAGAAATAAGAACATTGCAATCCTTAGTCTAAATGTCTGCATCAATTCTGTATCCAAGTCATTGAATTCAAACATCCTACTAAGAAACAAGGGGAAAGAGGGAAAAAACCTAATTTGAAACAAATACTGTAAACTCATAAGAAACTTTTAGAGAGTTCACTTCAGTAATCCCACTATCTGCACTAAGATATAAATCCACAATACTTTTTTTACTATATGGAAAAATAAAATGTTGAACTGAGAGACAAAGAAAAGCAATAATGTTTAAATATCTAGATAAAATGCTTAAAAGACATACAGCTAGCTTCACTTTTTGTAATTTTGATTTTTGGTTGTTGCAGAGGTTTTTTGTTTGCTTTTTGATGTGTGTTTTTTTAAATAGGACTGTGTTGCTCTCATTTTTCTTTCTATTTTTAGTTAGTTGTTTTTATATAGTTGCCTCACAAATGGAAGAAATTAAGAGCCTGACACAACATACAAAAGTAACTTCACTCATGGGACTAATTCCAGTCAACTCAACAGTGAACTAATAAACTGTGTAAAGCCCACAAGTTTTACAGAACTGTAGTGTCATTAAAAATTCATTGGCTAAGTTGGGTGAACAATGAAGAGAAAGAACTGCAGAAGTTCCTCCAATGTTTTCTCCTAATGATCATGTTAATCATGTTGCTTTGAATACCTTATAAAGTATATTTATCATATGGAGTAGTGTCTTCACTGAATACTAAAGACAAAAGGATTTCCATAGAAAATGTACTATGGAGCTTTAAGCAACCTGGTCTAGTGGGACATGTCCCTGCCCATGCAGAGGGGTTGGAACTAGATCTTCAAGGTCCCTTCCAATCCAAACCATTTGATGATGATGATGATGATTCTACTAGAACAAAATACTGCATCAGTGTGATGCCATGAAGAAAAATATTTGCAGAAAGAAATAAAATAACTGACAGGACAAATTTCACTGCTGTGAAATGTTATCCTTCAGTTCCTGAAACCTGATCTTTCTAACTTTTCTTGATGAATTGCAGAAATTAGCTTTACCATGGATTAGTGTGCAGAATATGGACTCCAAAGATGAGGATATAGAAAACAGTCAGTATAAGGAAGCTAAGTCCACACAGAGAACTTTCTCAATATGACTGTAGTGTAATGGTTAACGAGACATGTAATCACTGCTCTTGCAGAACACGACCCTTGTGGAAAAAACCTTCTACAAGTGACTGATTTTATTACCAGTAACTACACAAAGGAGTTACTAATCTGCACTCATTACACTAGGAAAAATTCCCATTGAACACAAGTCTAAGTACTGAGGAAAACATAGTAAGATTTGAATTAGAACAAACAACCATTTAGTTCTCAAAATCTGGAGGAATTACTAATTTCTAAGGAAATTACTAAGGAAGGGACTAAAACTAATCAATTTCAATGCAAAATATATTTTTCTTCAATTAGGCAATCTCCATAATTGATTTTCTTCATCAGGCACTCATGGGCAGCAGAGACTGGGAACTGTTTAAGTTTGACCAATGCCCTGCTTTGTGACTATATGCATTAGGTAACTCATTAAAATATGTATTTTGAGTTCTGAAAGGTAAGACTGAAAATAACTTAAGAGTTCTGAGAATGAGAGAGATCAGAATGAATAAGCAACGTTTACTTCCGTTATGTGCTTCCAAAGCATCCAGAAAAAGCAAACTAAGAACAGTACAAAACCCCACAGTTTAGCAACAGTGAAGGTACTGAGAACAAAAGTTCTAGAAGTACACTGTGGAGAACACAGATCTTGCATCAAAAAGAAACTATTAAATAATTTACAGTAAATTATGAGGAACAAAGGCCAAGTGCTACACACTGTTAATCTCAAATATTGACAGAACATAAAAATCTTAAATATTTTCCTTTGCTTTGACATATCAGTCTTAATTGCAAAATATTTTCACCAGATCTCCTATGAATGCCTAAATTGCCTCCTACAGCAACAAACCCAAATTAGGCAGAAGCTACCATGCTAGCTGTACAACTACTGCTCTTCCTGCAGCATTTGCAGTACACCTGGCCATAACCAGAAGACATGTTCTGAACATGACAGCACTGCGTAAGAAACCTATCACTGTGCAGTACTTGGTCAAGCACTAGAGGTTGAAAAACAAATAACAAATTAGGTTAGGTAACTAAAAACGTTTAAGCAAATCTAGAGAACCTACTGCTGAATTAAGCAATAATGACTTGAGGCCCAGAGCGCTTCTTGGGGATTAGCAACTAGCTGAGAGACGCTGATGACTTGAGGCACAGCTGAAGGCAAATAACCCCCAAACATTTGTTAATACCCCAGGAAATGTCCTGCATTTCTATTATTAATGTTATTCATTGGAAAAATAAAAGCATACTCAATAAAGTTGAAATATGTGCAAATATTTCTAAAATAAAAAGTATAAATCAAATCAGATTACCTAAATCAGAACATCTAAAATATTGAAGATGTGATGGAATATGAACTGATAAATGAGAATCATTCTCCAACTCCAACAATTTTGCATTTTATTTAGTTAGTTGAACCAAGAAGTAAAACAAACAAACAAAACAAACAAAAACTCAACACCTAAAAACCACAGCAGAAAACCACATTATAACCAAATGTCTAAAGAACATCTGAGACAGCACAATCAAAAATATAATTGCGTATATTTGTTTTTAATTAAGTTTGTCTGCCACTTCTTTAGTGACTGGTCTCATAACTGGTACCTGAAATGTAAAGAAATGGAATCCCCCTTACACCTTTCAATATTTTTTCCCTTGAGCCTCATCCAGCATGATTGAGTAACAAACTCAAAACGTTGCTTGGAACTGACATCTCACATCTCCCAGAGCTATTGTTCCGTTCATTTGTGTAGTCCGTTACAGACCAGTTTCAGAGAAGTTGATGACTGTATCCATTCTGGTGGCTTCTATGACAGGTGTTAGCCTTGGCTAACAGCCATACTCCCTCCCAGCCACTTGATCCCCCCCCCAAGCAGGAGAGGAGAAAACAGGAAGAAAAGGAATGAGAAAGATCATGGGCCAAATTAAAGACAGGGAGATTGCTTACCAATTACCATTGTGGGCAAAACAGACTGATCTTAAACCAGCACCGTCCTTCCCCCATTTCCCAAGCTTAACTTCACTCTAGGCTCCTCTAACTCCTTCCAAGCAGTGCAGTGGGGTACTGGGAAGTGGTGGTTATGGTCAGTACATAGTATTTTCTCTCTCACACTCTGTCCACCTTACTCTTTTCCTTTGGTCCAGCACAGGGTCTACATGGGCCATGGCTCCTTTCAGGAACATCCACCTGCTCTGGCACAGGTGCTCCACAGGCTGCAGTAGATACCTGCTCCACCATGGATCACCTCTATTCCTCCTGACCTTAGCCTTACCTCTGTCTTTTCCTTCACTGTTTCTTTCTTTGTTCCCTCCTCCTCTTTCCATTCAGCATTTTCTCCCCTTTCTTAAATGTTCTCAAAGAGGTGCTACCAGGCTGACTGCCTCAGCTCTGTCCTGTGGCGGGTTCACTGGAAACAGCCATGTCTGGCATGGATGATCCCTGGCCACTTCTCACAGAGGCCACCACTGCAGGAGCCCTGCTACTACCAAAGCCTTGCCACTTGCATGCAATACAGTTTCCTAATTCTCCTGGCCTCGGTATACTTTTTTCAGTGACATTTATTCACAAAAATTCAAATTGCTGTACAACTGGAAGCATTGTACCCTTAACCTCAGAAGAAACAGCCAATAGAAACTGAGCCACGAAAGGTATTTTAGTTTAAATGACTGTTAAACTTACTATCAAAAAGGACATGGCTGATTGCCAATAATTACTAATGAGAAATACAGTTTATGAAGCTTCACAGAACCACACAGGTACCAGAAGTCCCACTTGTAGCAATCAAGGCTTAAGACACTTGTTTTACTTTGCATCTTTTCTGTAGTTTAGAGATAGCTCCACAGAATGTATAGATTTTAACAAAAATATGGCAGTTCCTTTACTAAACCAATCTGATTTAGTCACACAATGTAGACGACTAATTGAATTTTCAGAAAATACAGCTTTCATTCTCCCACATGTGTTATCAATATCTTTACATTTTACTCTCAGAAGTCTTCAACTGGGCTATCACTTAGTGTACAAGTTCAACAAGGAAGGAAAGGAGGAGGAATGCTATTAGAACAATGTTTTAAAAAAAAGGAAAAAAATTACAACTGACATTTGACAGAAAAATTACCTGATTATCATATCTAAGAGACTGTGTTCCAACCAAAAATCTTATTGCATCTGTTTCTGCTGTCTGAGGGGTTAAAGCTCGTGCCTAGGGAAGAAGAAAACCAGGAAAGTCCAATTAGTACAATCCATTAATTTCAGCAAAAATCTTGAAGCTTATGAATCAATTATCAGTAAGCATTAAATTCTTACAATCTTCCTGCCCTTTGTGTCTATTTTGGTTAACAATTTTGTACAGCTTCTTAGAATCGGGAGGTGTGTGGAACATACGAGTGCTAAATACGCTATCTGGCCTTCATTACAGCATACTATTCAATATTATAGCAGTTCTTCAAAACTAATTCTTCTTAATCAATTGAAAAAAAAAACTCCATGAAACAACGGACAATTCTTAAGTAAGTTAGCTACAATATCCAAGAATGAGACTGTTCTTGCAGTTTTCAAACCATTCAGACTGAAGACATCTGCATAAAAGTGATTTTTTTTCTCACTGTTAACCACCAAGTTTAGTAGAAAGTTTAAAAACTAAACCCTTCTTTTCCACTCCAGGCCATTAGAGGTAAGAATTATCTGAATGACAGGAGAAATAATTCATTCTTTACCTACCAACATCTTGTCATGATCTTATAATTGTTAATGAGAACACTAGACTCCCTGCCTTGCTTCTTCAACTTGCACCAACTACAACCTTGGATGAAGCAAAATAAAACAGTTAAGGGCCATGGGAGGAGACATTAAGAAATAAAGCATAGCTTGAACCAAACCCACAATTGCTACTTTGCACTAGTCATTTGTAGAGACTCTTAGCTAGTTTTCAGTAAACGGGAAGTAAACTAACACTCAAAAGCACTTTTAGCAACCATAAGTAAACTGTGAGGAATATACACTACTTCCCTATGCAATGACATCTTAATAACATTGTTCAGTATTATTTTTTTCTCAAAACAGAAACACAAAACATCACAATTCACATTCTTTTTTGCATGAAATAGTTCAAATCTCTTCAGACACTAAAGCCTGTATTGCAGTCAAATACTTCAGAAAGTTTCAGGTAACTGCTGAGTGGCCCTTCTTACTGCCATCCCACCATGCAGGCAGCTAATAGTTACTTTCTGGATTCAGGAACATTTAGCTTCACTATAGTTCTGTTTGAAAACAGCCCTGAGGAGAAGAATTTGGGTGTGTTGGTTGATGACAAGCTCAACATGAGCCGGCAATGTGCAGCCCACAAAGCCAACCGTGTTCTGGGCTGTATCAAAAGAAGCATGGCCAGCAAGGAGATTGTTCCCCTCTACTCTGCTCTCATGACCCCACCTGCAGTCCTGTGTCCAGTTCTGGAGCCCCCAACACAAGAAGGACATGGAACTGCTGGAGAGAATCCAGAGGAGGGCCATGAAGAGGACAGGCTAAGAAAGTTGGGGTTGTTCAGCCCAGAGAAGAGAAGGCTTTGGGGAGACTTTAGAGTGACCTTCTAGTACCTGAAGGGGGCCTACAGGAAAGCTGTGGAGGGACATTTTACAAGAGCATGGAGTCATGGGTTTAAATTGGAGGAGGGTGGATTAAGGTTAGACATTAGAAGGAAATTCTTCATTACGAGGGTGGTGAGACACTGGAAGAGGTTGCCCCATCCCTGGAAGTGTTCAATGCCAGGCTGGATGGGGTTTTGAGCAACCTGGTGTCCCCTCAACCCAAGGCAGGTTGAATTAGATGATCTTTAAGGCCCCTTCCAACCTAAACCATTTTATGACTCTATCAATACAATAAATTTAGGACAATCTAGTTTTAGAATAGCAAATTGAAGATATTTGATTTTTCTTAAATAAAGCAAAACAATCCAAGCCCTTGTCTGGCAGTAACAACAAGAACCAATTCATTTTTCAGAATAAGCTCTGAACTCCCACAGAATGAATACTCCTTATCATGCATTTGAAATTATTGATTCAGACAGTGTAATATTTTGCTTACGACTGTGCATTAAAAGTTAAATAAATGCAATGAGTTAAATATAGGCTAGTAGTGTAATATTTTTTAAGGAAAAAAAAAGCACTAGAGAACATGATTCAGTAAGTAGTTTGTGTTCCCAACCTACTCATATGCAGATCAGAGATCAGTGTGAATTCATACTGGTTTGTTTGTAATCTCCTATTTACGCAGCACTTACCAACAAGCCTAACCAGTGTTTCCGATTGACAAAAACCACAAAAGCTCACCAATATGATTGCAGAACAGCTTTTTTTTTTTTTTTTGTCTCGAACAGAGTTTGTATTTGCAGCTCATTGGCAAGAGCTCCTTTTTATTTCAGATCTACTTTTAATTATTTTTGAAGAAAACACTAGAAATAAGCCCACAGCTATGTATCACTTTCAATCAAGTAAGCTTCTGTTTCTTCTCTAAGTCAAACAGAGCAGGAGATTGCCAGGATCTTCACTAAAATAAAGAAATAAAGGCGGGGCTTTACCCCCTTGAAAGCTTTTTGAGTAGATCGTATCATTCTGCTTTCAAAAAAATCCATCATGTTATACACAGAGTCCCCAAAATAATGTCAACACATGGTAACATTTATGTAATCAGCTTCTCAATCCCTTTGTTAAAGTATTTTAAATTATTTCCCCTTTTTTTCAGGGGAAATAAAAAATAATCAAAGGCCTGAGATACATATTTGAACACATTTCACAACAAGAAACATAGTATTTTTTTATTCTCTGTCATAAAAGACTACAACATCCGTAGCATACAAGGTTCAAACTCAGCAAGTGTTCATAAATAAAGAGCTGATTCATAATAGAAATAACAATACAATGGACTTTAGTTGTCTCCTGCAGGAAGATAGGTCTAATTTTGTCTGTTTTGAGTTACTTTTAGAGAAACACAAGTTATGTCAACAGATGATGAGGACACTGAGTAACCCCTGTGCTGAACTGCATAACTTTAATTTGGAGTGCTGTCAACATCAAGAGTGCCTTAAGTTTGTCATCTTGTACTGTAACCTGTCAGAGCAAGTTGCAATTAATATCTTTCACAAAGCATCTTGCCTCATGACTGCAGCTAGCAAAAAGCTTAGTATAATGAATAGATTAATTTAGACCAATAGACCTTATTATTTTTAATAAAAGTCAGCATGCACACAACACTAAACTGCATATAGCCCCAAAAAGAGTTTACTAACCAATATATTGAAGTATAAACGGCTGTGATGCATAGAAAATACTCAGAACACACATCTGAAAGATGCTAAGTCACCCTTACACATACAGTCATAGCATGGCCCCACTTAACTGATGCTTCTAGACAACACAACATATACAATTGAATAATTTTTAAAGAAAGCTTATGATTAGGGAAAAAAATAATTAACCAACAAACACTGAAACATGATGAACCACAAAGAACCTTTTTGGTTACATGTCCAAATTTCATATTCACCAACAGCTCTATGAGGAAATGAATCAGACAGTTCTATAAAACAGTAGTGATAAAAAGGCAAGTTCATTGTCATTGATGCTCTAACAAAATATTTTAACAGTCTAGAAGAAAGTTTATAAATGCACAGCCAAAATTCCACTCTGCTAACACAAAGGAAATCCTGTCTTTGGAAAGCGAACACCAAATACTTCTAAATGCCATAAAAGTCTGCCAAGGAATCTGAACAAATCACTTGTCACAGGCTTTTCAAATTGCATTTATTTATTCTGTGTAATACTTTGTAGCTTCCCCAATTCTCATTTATTCTATTTGTGTTGCACACCATCACAAAACAGAAAACCAAAAGAATGCAACAATTATAAATTCATCCCTGTGTTTTCAGAAAAAAATATATCCTATGGATGACAACAGATGCTGAGCAACTATTGCAGAGATGCAGGAAAGAGCATCACCATGCTCCAAAGGCACTCCTGACTAGTACTCTGTACCTCATAAGGCCAGACACTCTGACTCACAACAAATCTTTCAAGGTGAAAAAAATCAATTTTTAGAAAAGTTAGGGCTGATGCAGAAAGGAAGGGAAAAATACCTGAGGGAACCAGTGTAAGGAATACTGCATATGCTCAAATACTTCAATACATTTAACGTGCTAATGAGAAATACTAGGTCCCACATGCCACATTCAAAAGACTTCTTTTTACTTAAAAGCCAAAAAAAAACCTACCAAAAAAACCCAAACCAAAACAACAAAGAACCAAACAACAACAAAACATGGTGGCCTGCTATAGTACAGGCAAAACTCAAATACTCTTTTCAGAAAACTTTCTAAACCAAGATATGTATTCATACTTAAATAGAAATACAAAACTGAACAGCCTACAGTAATAGTCACACTAAAGTTCCATATGGCTAAGGGAAATAGAATCTGGACAAGCAAACATAACAAAAAGGCATTTTCATTTACTGCATCCTGAAGCACTTCAGAGAGCCATAAATTACATACATAGAGAGAAATAGCCATATGCATGCAAAAATAAAAATTAAAGAAGCATTCACAATGCATCATCTGTTCCCAAGACAGTACAGCTGCCATGCTTTTAGTAGAAGAACCAGAAATTCTGCATGAACTTTGAACACACTATACCACAGAAGAAAGAAAATAACACTAATCCCATAGTGAAGACCACCATCACTTTGGAGGAACAGAGATCAAGAAGAGGGGTGGGGGTGGTAATAAGTCACTTAAAGCTGAGTATAGGAAGTTTTACTGGAAAAGAAAAACTTAAATTATTTAGTAGTTTTATACATGATCAAAATCCTGTGTTAGCATTTCCCACTGCAGAAGGAACATCTCAGATTTCAGAATTCACACCCCTTCCCAATATGTAAATATGTAGGTAATAAAATTATATGGGAAACTTTTTATTCTGCTACTATTCCTAACCATGGAAACTGTAACTAGAGCATTTATAACAAGAAAGCAAACATTGCCTACCCCATTACAAGAAGACAAGTCTTCCCTTTATTATGTGCATTGAGGGATTAACTAGAGACAAAGCAACATGCCTGTGCACTGCTGCACAGACGTCCACACTGATTCTCTGACTGCATCACTTCTTTGGTTAGACATTTTGGGCTTCAATTTCCTTCACTAACTCAAAATGAAAGAGTATTTATTTAGCAAAACTACTTTAACTCCTTCAGCAGCAGCACTTACTGCCCTTTCCCAGTCCGTTTTCATTCTAACTCTACCATTAAAGTGAAACATGGAGGACTTCTTTGTTTCACCTGCAAAGAGAAACAGTTAAGAACACAGAAACAAACAGTGGATTAGTTTAAACTATCTAAAGGAAGGATACAGAGACGACAGATCTGAGGTGTCCAGCAACATGAGAGACAATGAACCTCTGTTGCAACACGGTAAAATTCAGAGTAGACATTGGGAAAAAAAATAAATCACAGTAATGGCAGTCAAAACACTGGACCACGATGGTCATCTATGTTGGGGAATTAATCAACCATGAAAATATTAAAAAGTCAGGGGACAAGGGCCCTGAACAATCTCATCTATTGAATCTAATCTGAGAAGAAAAACACCAAAAAACACAAACAATCACAAAAAAAGTATTGACTCAAAAGGAAGTTAGTAGGATGCTCCCAGAAGTTTAGGTAGTCTTGTTTCCACGAGA